CTTTATCTTGGAGTCGACGCGTGCTTTAAATCCAGAGTATGGCTCGTACCCAAAAACAGACTGCAACACCTGGTTTCATATAATTCATTGTGATTATCACTTCCGTGGAAAGAGAAACATAAAAGAAGAAAAACATTCAAACCTCGAGTAACACGAAGAAAGGACCCATCAGAAAAGCTTGGAGTAGATTGTCTAAAAGTGCAGGAGCTCGTTTCTTGGAGTAGAATTAAGATATATGTTAGTTAGGTTTCTGCAAAGAAGAATCAAAACAAATGATTTCTAAACAACAAAGGAAGTTTATTACCTCAAACAAGCCGTGACCGAGGAACTGACCACTCCAACATAAGAGCTGAGAAGCTACTCCAAACTGAGAAAGCGAGTCAAAAATGCAAAAGATATAGATATTTGCAATACAAAAGAAGAAACTTTGTCTTGAACATAAGTGATGCAGACATTTAATTTGGAGGTTTTCTGATAAAAAGAATCATAAAAGGACCACATTATATCCAGACAAGTGATCATTAAAGTTCGGAGACAAGACATTGACGTTCCAACATCAACATCAGCATATATACACCAATAGAAACACCAACTAGAGAAACAAGAGTTCCACAGAAACATTAGAAACAAGATCACTTTAAGCAGAGAACACAAGAAGGCTTTCAAGTCAGAGCATGGAAGAAATTGAGCTTTAAATCCATGAGGGAACCATAAAGATGAAATCTTTTCCAATAATTGGATTAAAGGGCTCACCTTTAAGGTCAAGGAATGTCCTAATCGAGCTGCGAGGAAGCTAGAGCCAATCCAACAAGAGAAACACAACAGAGCAGCTAAAACACCAGCTTTCTTATCCAAACAGATGTAGAAGATAGCATAAATCACAGTGAGAGTAAAACCAATGTCCAAACGCAAAACACTGTCAAAAGTCAGCGATTTGAGGAAGCCTAATTGAGAGTGATCTAAAATCGGTGGCATAGAGTAGAGGAAGAGAAGGGTAGCGAAGACGTTTGGCCATACGAACAGAGTGTGGATTATTATGTTATTGAGATTGCTGTGATAAGCTCCGTAGAAAGCAAAGTGCTTCTCTAGATCGAACAATCCAATACGATTGCTCATGATTTTAAATTTTTTTCTAACACTTGAGTGGGAGACTTTCTTGGGGGATCGACGAAAGACTAAAGGAGAAGACTTTTGTGATTCTTGACGTTTACTTAGCAGATGCGTCACGTAGAGTATGCTAACATGCGCCCCTGCGGTTACAAACTAACGTAGGCTTTTAGGAGGTGATGGTCGTTGACCAAGTCATAAGCACTGCGGTTGCGTTTTGATTTTGGGATAATTGAGAGCCCATTTCAGAAGAAAAATCTTAACCAAATACTAATGAGGAGAGTGGGTACAAGTGCCGCCATATTCTTTTTTTTTTTTTTTTTTTTTTTAATAATATATTTATAAAGGGCTTTCCCAATAATGGGCTTTCCCGAAATGGATCTTGGGCAAAACAAATCTTTCTGTGACCAAATATACGATCTTCTTATTAAAAAAAAAAAAAAAAAAAATACGATCTTCTTATAGTCGTATAACATCCATCATGATGTAGTTAAGATTTTTAAGAAAGTAAGATGTAGTTTTCTTTCTAGTGATTTTGATACATGTATATTTAGGAAATTAAGATGTAGTATTTTTTTTAAATGATATTGTTCGACATAAAATGATGAAACCCAACCATTTTGTTTTACTTAAGACTTCCTACATAATTTTGGTTTCGACCATGTCAGTTTTTCACCAATTTGGAAACTATAATAATCAAATGATGTATAAATATTCTTTATTAATATCAAGTTCTAGAACTTATTTGGGGGAGAAAGAGATTAGCGCCAAATTGCAAGAATTTTTAATTGGTCTTTTAACAAGTTCCAAATTTCAAGAAAATAGTCAAAACTCAAAGGAGAGTTTGTCTGTCATATTCTTCTTTGTTTAACATTTCCTACATGACTTCCATCGCTCTATGCCTCTATGTCTCTTGGAACTCGTAATTCACACGTGCTCTACTTCAGATTTCTTAGTATATCATACATAATTCACTGTTTTCAATATCATAGTACTTACTACTACTTCCATAAAACTTATTCAAATTAGGTACAGTTTCCAGAAATTGGGGATTTTGCAGAATAGACAAAAGAGTATTTGATTACAAATCTTGCTTAATTTTCAAATTATTAAACAAGTCTAATTAGTCTAGTGTGCAACTTACGCCTAGTATTAATTAAAAAAAAAGATAAAAAGGCTATCGTTCAAAACTTAAAGAATGGTTCAAACATAATTTTCAACATTTAAACACACCTTTATATTCAATTATTAATGTATCCAACTATACATAATCCATTTGTAATTTAGTACTATAGTCTACTTATGACAAAGCAAACGGTCTACTTTATAATTATATACACACAATAAAAATCAACCAAGAAATAGTGCCTTGACTTGCTCCTTGATTTTTTTGGTGTAGTAGTAGTATTTATTTTAGCAAGTAAAGCCACAAACAAATCAGCAAATTGTCATTGGCTTAAAGTTTCTAGAAAAGTTGCAAAAAAACGAATCAGAGGGACCAAGTCTCTATGACGCGCCAACTAAGACTGAGCTGTTATATTGACGCCTTCTCCGTCACTCTTCCCCATCTCACGTCTCGCCACGTGGCCTCCGTTCTTACATCTTCCACGTGCTGTCATGTCTCCTCTCACAGCCATATGTCTGCGCGAATCACTTCTTCATCCAACGGCTGAGATTGATTTTATGTTCCTATTTTATTTCTTTTTTTTCCTACTTGGTTTATTTATTTACGTGTAAGCTGCGTGTTTCGGACGAGTAACAACGCAAAAATTAAAAATAAACAAAATCAAAATAGACAAAAAAGATCTTTTTCGTTGGAATGAGAAAAACTTTAATATAAATCCTTTTTCCAAATTTATCACAAAATACATACTAAAAAAAAAATAAAGACGCGGTCAAAATTCTCTCTCAATTATCAATATAAAGCCAATCTCATTCCCATTAGGGTTTTTAATCTTTATCATCATCACTCTCTCTGCTCCCAAATTCAGAAAAAAAGGAGCGATTTTTATTTTCCGGGGAATGAGAATTTTCTCTCGAATTTGATTATCACACAATCTTACAAATTTGTGTTTTTGATTTTGAGGATGCCAGCAACGGATTATCAAAGATCATTCGGGAGGTCTTTTCTCAATTTACGGCGAGACACGGCGGTGAACTCGGTTGACTCAACGACTGTTACCGTCGAGTTGACTCAGATGGAAGCAGAGCTTGATTGGTTTCAGAGGAAAGTTGCTGAGAGGTTTATCGATCTCAATGCCTCTACTTGTGAAGATCTACTGTCTCTTGAATGGGTTGGGAAGCTTCTTGATTCGTTTCTGTCTTGTCAAGAAGAGTTTCGTGCCATCGTCATCAATCATCGTTCGATGATCACTAAACCACCGACGGATCGATTGATTGCAGATTACTTCGAGAGAAGTGTTAAAGCTCTTGATGTTTGTAACGCCATTCGTGATGGTGTTGAACAGATCCGTCAATGGCAGAAACTAATCGAAATCGTAATCTGCGCTTTCAACAACAACGGTGGAGGAAGTAGTAGTAGCCAGAGACCTCTTGGAGAAGGTCAGTTTCGTCGTGCGAGGAAGACTTTGATTGAGTTAGCTATTGGTATGCTTGATGAGAAGGATTCTTCTTCAAGCTCAGTGTCGTCGCAGCATCGTAACCGGTCTTTTGGAAGGAACAAGGAGCATCTTCATCACCGAACAATCGGGCATTTCAGGTCGCTTTCTTGGAGTGTTTCAAGATCATGGTCTGCTTCTAAGCAATTACAAGCTATTGGGAACAATTTAGCTACGCCTCGAGCTAGTGACATTACTGCAACTAATGGTCTTGCTGTTCCGGTTTATACGATGACTTCGATATTGTTGTTTGTGATGTGGGCGCTTGTGGCAGCGATTCCTTGTCAAGACAGAGGCTTGCAAGTGCATTTCAATGTTCCTAGGAATTACCAATGGGGAGGTTCATTGATGTCGTTGCACGATAGGATCATTGAGGAATCGAAGAAGCGTGAGAGGAAGAACACTTGTGGGTTGTTGAAAGAGATACATCAGTTTGAGAGGAGTTCAAGATTGATGAATGAGTTGGTTGATTCTGTTCAGTTTCCTTTGTCTGATGAGAAAGAGATGGAAGTGAGAGAGAGGGTTGAGGAATTGGGGAAGCTTCAAGAAGCTTTGAAGAATGGTTTGGATCCGTTTGAGAGGAAAGTGAGGGAAGTGTTTCATCGGATTGTTCGAAGCAGAACAGAAGGTCTTGATACTGTTGGAAAGCATCACGGTTCTGAATGATGTTGATTCAATGGGAAACATTTTGTTTATTCTGGAGAAGTTTGTCAAATTGTGGGTTTGTTTGTCTATATGTGAAGATCATGGAGCAAAATGTAGAGATGGAGGACATTTTGGCTACCATTAAGCAAGGAGAAAGAAACTTCATTTTTTCGATCATTGTTGTTTATGTATAACTTCTTACCAAAGATTGTTAATTATGAATTTGGTTCCATTTGATAAGGATCGAAACTTTAATTCTAAAGTTCGCTTATATTTGCTCGATTGGTTAAATTGTCTAATTTTGATTATCGTCGATTCTTGGAAAATGTATACAATTGAATAGAGAAGATATCATGAATAAAAGAAAATATATAATTTTTACATCTGTATGAACACTACGTCTGGGAAACTAAATGTGATACAAAATCTTGGAAGCTATGAAATCCATGTCTGGACACGTCTTCCTGCATAAAAAACTAAGTACGTAGCTTCAATATGTGAGACAAGAGCAGGAATAAGAGGCCTTCATATACAGTAAAGCAAGATGATTACATTGGGTAAGCTTTGGAGCCCAAACTCAAATTAGGCTACAACAAAACAACCCTTCATATCTCCGTTCTTAGATGCAATCACCAGGCTTCTAAGAACTAGTTAAGTTCAAACATAGGTAACAAAAAAAAAAAACAATAAACCAAGAATATGCCTCAGAGGTAGTGACAATTGTGATATAATTCATCACTATGAAAATCTGATGAAAACACATCAATAGATATACATCACCGGCACAAAACAAACATCATAAAAAGTGCATCAGAGAGATTCCCATCTAGACATAGTCATCATTATATTTCTCCAAAAGGAGAATCTGATGTCCCTGTCTTTTTATCATCACTTGCACAGACACTATACCTCTAAAAAAAAACAAGCTAATCTCGATTTCATTAACAGACACAAAAGGATTCAAGATGCCTCAGAGTTGGTTTGTTTTCCTAGAGACTAAGCTCTCAAAGTATATTTAATACCATCACAGGCATCAAAAGAAAAACAGCAATAACACAGAAAATAACCACAACGCAAACAAAAATACAGTGAATCTTTGAGAAGCCCTTGCGATAAGCGAATTTGGAGAGATAAAAAAGACTAGGGTTTCAAGAGAAGTGGCTCCAATTGATCTCCACTGAATGGCGATGGCTTTAAATATATAAGCAGAGAGGCGGCGAAAATTAGGGCAAATAGAAGGAACTCAAAAGATACGACTGGGCTCATGTGAAAATATTAATGGCCCATTAGATAAGTTAAAGGCCCAACCAAATTGTTAAAAAAAAAAAATAGTTTGAAACTTCCGAATAATCAAATTGTTAATTAAACGGAACAGCCTAATTGATTAACGAATTAAACTGCCTTCTTCCTCTGCTGTTTCCAAGTGAACATTCCCTAATCCTCCGTTTTCGTCCTTCACAGTGGTTTCTCTTGTCTCAAAGACTTTGCCTTTCTTATACTATATGTTAATGTTTGGATTAAGCCAATTTCACATTGTACAAATCAATTTCGGATTTGGAGATTTTTGTCTTTCTTGACAAGTCTATGGTTTTAGCTGTTGAATACCAAAGAACCACAAGTAGTTGAAGTTAGTACCTAAAAGAATTCTTCATTCTTATTTTTTCATCTCTATTCGTAAATTGTTAGATTTGAATGGTTAGGATTAAGCCTGATGATAAAGAGGTTAGAGAGGCAGGGCCGGCCCAGACCTAAAGCCCATCAAGCAGGTGCTTTAGGCATCAGATTATATTTTAATTTTAAGGGGCATCATTTGTTAGAAAAAGTCTCGTAGTTCAGTGGTTATTGGCTCATTTATAAGCAGGAGGTGGCGAGTTCAAGTCATATTATACCGAAATTTTCACATTTTTTTGTATTTTTGTTAGTAAATGGGCAACAAAATTTTTTTGGGCTTTAGGCATCCAAATCTTTTGGGCCGGCCCAGGAGAGTAGTAGCAACAGGCAAAATACATAATCAAAGCAAAGAAGTGGGATTTTGAAGAAAGCCAGAGATCATAGGTAAGTAAGGAAATCAACTGGATCATTTTTATGGTTACATGAGGGAACTTCACCTGAATCTTGAAAAGTTTATGGTTTATGTTTAAGCATGATTTTTCTCTACTCTCAAGTACATACATATAGACTCCTGATCGTGATATAGTTGTGTAATGAAGACTGATAACTTTTTGTTTTGAACATAACAGAAAAATGGATAGCCTTGAGGTAACTCTCTTCCTTTTTCATAATAATTATTGGTTTTGGGAAACATATTGAGCTGAAGCATCTACTTATTTTATAGGCCCTCTAGAATTTTTCTTATGAAACTTGATCATGATGTTAATATAAATGAGTTCTTCTTAGGTGCAAGGTATGTCATGGTTATATATGGCTTGATTACACACACATATGAAAATGTTAAGAGTTACTAATGGAGGCAGATTTTGCTTTGCAGGAACGTTTCAGAAAGAATCAACCCATGTCACCAGAATGTACAACAACACAGGTTATGTGTAGATTACAAAAAAATTTGTCCCTCTTTGCTCTCTCACATTCTTAAACCAGACCAAATATTCTATCATGCAGTTTTAGAGCGGGATATCATCAGTAATAAACGGCATTCAAGAAAACCATTTAATCTCATGGCTTCCTAATAACAATAACCAGCAAATGATCATGAGTGAAAACTGTTAATGCACTTAATAAAATGATTTTGAGTTATATGTTCTATTCAATTCAAAGTTTTATGATCAGCAGAGAGATGGAAATTAAGGATATTACATCACTTCCGGTTTACTCAAGCTTCTTCGAGTCTGAAAATCAAGAAGATCAGAATTGCAACCTACAACAAGTTGACCGCTTAAGACATGAAGGCAATGTGTTAAACGAGCTAAACGCAAACAGCTGCTCGAGTTTGCAACTCCGCGAGGAATATTTGTATTCTACTTAATTTGGTATGCAAGAAGAGAAGAAGTTAGAACCGGGTTTAGAGTTTTAACTTCCAACAAGATCCTTCTATGTATCCGGTTAGCAACAGCTTCCAATTTCCTGATCAACCAGTGTTTGACCACTCTGATAACAATCAGGTTGATGCACATAAGATTGCTTCTATATACACAGTCAAAATCCACAAACCAATCTCTTGTTTCATTATTTTGCAGCAACCAGATTGTCTCAGAAGAGGTCATGAATAATAAATAATATTTGTGTTGAGTTACTGTAGCAATGTACATACAAGTTTTTGTGTATATACATGATATTCAGCAGATTTGTATATATCTTTGTGTGTCAGTGTATTATATAATACAACACTAGTTGTACTCCCTGTTCTAAAAATCCCCGCCTAGCCCCGATTACTCCCCGCTTAGTCGCTAGGCCCACCCTATCCGCCTCGATTAATGACTAATCCCCTAAAAAATCAGTAACCCGATTATTCTCCGCCTAATCCGATTACTTCCCGCCTAATCTTATATACCCCGATTATTTTTTAGATTGCAAGTATAAAAAAACTTTTTATTTTTGTTATTCAATCATTTGAATGAGGAGTTTGTGATGTTTTACAATAACTTGTGTTCAAATTTTAATAAAAATCATAAATTTGTAATAAAAATCATAAATTTTTACAATATTAGATTAATATATTTTAAAAATATTAAAATAACCCTAAAACTAATCCCCGATTAATCCCCGATTTTAATCCGATTTTCCGATTAATCGCTAGGCCCATGCCGAGCGCCCGACTAGCGCCTAGCGATTTTTCAAACAAGGGTTGTACTTAAAAAAAGGAAGAGTTTTAATTTTGATGAGCATCATGTGATGTCTCCAACTCAAAAGGCTTATTTCCACAATCAACGGTAGAGATCTAAAGAAAATGAGAAAACTTGCGCAATCTTCTTTAATATCCGATATCTTCTTCCACGATAATCCTACTAGAGATCCAGAAGAAGAGCACACATGGTTTTTGTATAAATTAGATAAAGCTTTACTTGAAGAACAGAGCAGAAACAGAACACATCTTCTGTTTTTTGAGGGAAAGTAGATGGAGAGAAGACAACACTTTCGAATGTTCTTGGTTTTAGCTCTTCTATATCTCATGATCTCATGGAAGCCTGTCCTAATCACTGCAAGTCTGTAATACCTCTCTCTAACCTCCTCAAGTTTTTTGTTCTTGCTCTGTTTCTTTCTTGTTTTAATTTCTTATTTACTGCAGGAACTGAGAAATCATCAACAGACCACTTTGAAACCAAGGGACAGGAATTGAATCAGATTAGCCACCTGGTAAGAATCCACTCCATACACACACTCATACAATGTGAGCAGAGATCAAAGTCTCTTCTGTATTTTGACTCTTTTTTTGGTATGGATGCTTTATGTTTTCATAGGGACGCATTGAAACTGATCCTAAGGGAAGAACAAGGACACGGAAGATGATGACCGTTGAGGATATTAACGATTATCCAGGATCCGGTGCTAACAACCGCCACACTCCTCATTGTTCTGATTGCTAATTCCATTTTCTTGTAATCTAGCTTCTATAAAATTGTAATGATATGTATCAAGATTTAAAGAGCATGGGGAGTCTTAATAATTGAATAATCTTAATCTAAAAGGCTATGTGAAAATATCAAACTTTATGAAACCCATGTCTAAAAAGGTGAGACTTTTTTCTTTTTTTTAGTATTGTCCACCATTGATTAACTTAGCTCAGATCAGGTTAGGTCATCCACTGATACACAAAAAAGTTTTGCTCTGCTTTTTCCCTCATTACATTAATTATTGTTATTTTCGTTTATTTGGTGGAGAGACACTGAGACAGTGGATGGCACAACCACCTCAAACATGATAATATCTTTACTATTATAAGACAAATTCTCGAATTAACAGATACAACAAATTAAAGAAGAACAAAATACAGAAAATCCAAACATTATTTGACATGATCAAAATGAAAGACAAACGAAACTCTCCACAACATGATCACAATTTACACAAACCGGAACCATTACATATTAAGACATTAATTCAATCAGTTAGTGTCGGGAGAAGGAGAAATAGCCGGCGCCGGAGAAGGAGCATGGGAGGTACCGTCATCAGAACGCATGAAGTCAAACCTTTTGATGAGTATATTAGCAACTAGCTCGTTAGCCTTATCGGTGGGATGATACTCGTCCCAAAACACATACTTACTTCTGTCTTTACACAATGTCGACGCCGGAATACATGTCAGCGCCGGCCGGATTCTGTAGAACGAGCAACACGGCGAATCCGAGTTGTCAAACCCTATTATCAGACAAAACATTTAAACAAGTTAATCTGATGATTAAAGCAATAAAAAGAATTAGCCTTTATGAAATGAAACTATCAAACTTTTTTCATGACAAAAAAATAAATTTGTGTTGAAAATGAATGATCAATTATTTTTCTAAATGAAATTTCATTTATGAATGCTTCGTTTGATTTTAGCAAAGTTTTATTAGTACCGTATTTCTTAGGGTTCGTGATGATGTCGTTGACGAGGTCATAGGCTTCACCAAACCTGTAGCTTGCGTTAGGGAGCTTGGCCTCGAGATCTAGGAGCATTGTGGTCGCAGCTTTGTTGAATTTCTTAGCAAGATTACTCGCTTTGTTTTGACAATTTCCATCGAGGCTTAGAGCTCTTTGGAGTGGGATACAACCCATTGGTCCTAACCCAAACACCATTAGCTTCCTC